AAAGCAGCTAGCAGGGGAGCGGCTAACAGGGAAGCAGCTAACAGGGAAGCGGCTAACAGGGAAGCGGCTAACAGGGAAGCAGCTAACAGGAAAGCAGCTAGCAGGGAAGCAGCTAACAAGGAAGCGGCTAACAGGGAAGCGGCTAACAGGAAAGCAGCTAGCAGGGGAGCGGCTAACAGGGAAGCAGCTAACAGGGAAGCGGCTAACAGGGAAGCAGCTAACAGGGGAGTGGCTAACAGGGAAGCAGCTAACAGGAAAGCAGCTAGCAGGGGAGCGGCTAACAGGGAAGCAGCTAGCAGGGAAGCAGCTAACAAGGAAACGGCTAACAGGAAAGCAGCTAGCAGGGAAGCAGCTAACAAGGAAGCGGCTAACAGGGAAGCGGCTAACAGGAAAGCAGCTAGCAGGGGAGCGGCTGACAGAGGTCCCCAAGGGGATACATCTCTGCCATCTTGGCTAATTTGCTTCTTGAATGTCAGACCAGGACTGCCATCTCAGAGAGCAGTTGGGAAAGTTTTTCTGGGCCTGGACTCGTGGGGGAAGGACCAGGAGAGAGCCCAGGTGGGTGGGGTTGTGCGTCATAGTAATTTGAAGTAATTTTATCCCAATCCCAAGAATTATGCGTGAAGAGCTTGTCTTTATTTACTACATCGGTCTCCGTCTGTCTGATAGACTGAACTTTGTACAGTCTCTTAATTTATAAATGAGGGATTGTCCTGCTTTGAAGGTACATCTGCCAAGATATTTGAGATGCTGATGTAAGAACATGATATAAAGTCACAGTGGATGGATACTAGCTACTTCCGCCCAGACTGCAGGACTGTATGTTCACGCACATTCTGTCGTCCTTCCAAATCACCGCCCCCCAGTGGTGTAATCCAGAAATGGCACGTAGGCTGTCAGATGTGGTTATAATTCACAGATTTAACAAGCTTGGTCTCATTTATGGGGAGAAAAATCATTAGTAAGTATGTTAGTCAAAATCACTGGTGTGAAGGACATTGTTAGCCCGATGGGTGGTAATGGGGGGGGGGTCAGTCTCTCTCATATTTCCCTCTCACACCTTTCCAGTCATCCCCCCCCTTCCTTTTTTCTGTTGCCCTCCACACTAAAGGCAATCAAATTACGGTGGAGAACGTGCCGCAAAGATAAGCAATGTGCCGGCCCCCTGTCCCCCACACCAATGCCGCTCCCCTCCACCCCCTTCCGCAGTCGGGAGCGCTCTAATTGGCTCCCTTCCCCACACCGCAATGGGGCTACCGTGCCTGCAAACCTCAATTCAATTTGAACTCCGACTCCCCAAAGTTATTAATTGATAAAAATCGCTTACATGCACATACAGGCACGCTGGCATTGGTGTGATTTACTCCCGCTAGTTCACCGTAGAGCACTGGATAGCTATGGGAGATTTAACCTAACTAGCTTAACTAGCTGCCCTCACATTTGTTAATTGGTTGTGTGTTTGTAATTATTACATTGTGGGGACCAGATTTCCCCACAATGGGATGAAAGCCTGTGACACTGAGGGAACACTGTTACTTCTTATGCTACGTTCACACCGCGAGCGTCAAAGACGCCAGCCGTCGCTCCCGCCGCCCTGAACGCGACGCGAGCCAACGCCGGAGACGCTCTCTGACGTCATAGAGTGGGCGGGGACAAGGCCGCTCAGAATGCCAGGCTCTGAGAACTTTTTAAAGGGGCCGCAAAACAAACAAACGTGTAGCTTATATCTTTGCGCCGACTCCTGATAGGACATAATTTGCCAAATAAATATTGTTGTGAGCCAGTTATTTGCATTCCCACTTAAAATCAAGCGTTCTGGAGGGAAAATGTTACCTATAAATAATGTAGCGCTTCTTTTCAAATTTACCTTGGATCACAATGGATGATCGCCAAGTAGTTGCTTGTGCTTTATGTTTCTTTAGTTAACATAAATAGTACTTAAAATGTTTCACGACAGTTCTACTAAAACACATAATTATGTTTTGACAAACACTAATGCTATAAATAGGTTTAACATTACCGACAATTTGCACTGTTTTCTCTGCTATGGCGCCTAAATTACTACTGATCAAAAAAATATATTATGCACTTCACCATCTCACCTGGAACACCGATTGTTTCGGACACCCTGGTCCATGCCTCATTTTTTTAAATTTATGTCCCTGTATGCAAACAGACACATCATATATAACTGGGTACCCGGACACAGCAATAATAAGTCTCTCCTCCATTGTGCCTAGGAACGGTTGGGTCGGAACAAAAGTTTACACGTTTATGTTCTGTGGCGCTCTCTTTAGTGGAGCATCTCTACATTCCCATTGGTTGCCGCCCAACCGCGTCACAGCTCATTACCATAAAGTTGACTAGGATTCAACATCTGTCTGATGCTCCCGCCGCCCAGATCGCGACGCGCTGCGCCGCTCCTCTCCTTGACGCTTCCCGACGCGCCACGTCCCATAGAGAATGAATGACTTCCGGTCGCTTTGACGCTCTCGCCGCTCGCAGTGTGAACGTAGCATTAGGCTGTTGTATTCAGTGCCCTTTGTCCTAATGGTCTGATGTCTTTATGTTCTTTTATGCTTGTTTTTCTTGCCTTGCTGCAAAACCAATTGCCCTCTGGGGACAATAAAGTTGAAAGTTGAGTTGACTTGAGTTTTAACTTTTTACCTTTTGGGGACACTTTTTAGGTCCCTGAAAGGAATACTCAAATGTATAAAGATCTGTGAATGCAATAAAACACCTAAAAAAGTCTTGTATTTTGTTTGGTCATCTATGGTAAAGGTTAGGGCTGGGTAGGGTTAAGGTCGTCATTGTTGGGATTCAGGTTATGCCCATTGAAATGAATGGAGAGACCCCACAAAGATATGAATACGTAAATTGCGCCCCCCAGCCGCGACCCCCTCTCAGTGAGGCCTCGACCTCGCGGCCTTGTAGCCGGATTTGCCTCAAATGACCTCCTGAAGCAGTTAAATGATGGAGACTTACATGTTGGTCAGGGAATCTGTGAGTGTATGAGTGTCTGTGAGTATATGAGTGTCTGTGAGTATATGAGTGTCTGTGATTGTATGACTGCGTGTTTAACCCAGTCAGCCAAGGAAAAATTGGGCTTCTACCAATCGAATGTCACATCAGAGTACCTGTTTCTGGAAGAGACTGGGAACCCGGCAGCTGGGCTGATTAATATTCTCTCAGTGACGGGGTGGGTGCATAAAAAGGACTCCCCATTTGTGTATGTGGTTATCATGAGGCCAGGTGATGTGGTCATTCATATCTCCACATCCCCGGGCTTTACACAGCGATGCTGTGCTGACATCCCCAGTCCTTCCTCTAAAAATGTAATCACAGAGGAGCTCTGCAGCGCCAAGCGGTTAATTCATTTTATCCTCTATTTATGAAGACTCACAATGTCCCCTGAGCTGTACCACAGGGCTCTGAAACAGACTGGCAAACACCACATTATTAATACCCGTTTAATCCACTGGAAATCTGACTACGGTGCTGTGAACACAATGCGAAACATGATGATTTTTACGAAGGAGTGTAGAGTGATGGAAGTCAGGGAAATATGAATGGGGGGCTGTTTATGACTCTGCAGGTTAGGATCTCTGCCCACTGCTGGAAGGTCATAGGTTCAAATCCTGTGATTAGCAGAATGATGTCACTCTTGGGCTCCTGATCGCGGCCATTAACCCTGAAAGACTTCAGGAGACTGGCTGATCTGCTTTCTCAGTTGTACATCACTATAGATCAAAGCGTCTGCTAAGGAAATAAGTGTCACTGTATTATGATCCATATTTGGATCCAAGATCCGGCACTGGTATGTTATATGGGTTTGGAGCAACTTTGTCGAGATGCCAAAACCCTGTGTACACTGTGTCCGCACGTTTCATGATCCCATGGCGACAGGTGACATGTGATTGTTGGAGGAAAGCGTGAGGATTCGTAACAGGCTACGGAGAAAGGTCCGTCTTTATGGACGTGGTGGCATCACGGCCAGACGGGCACACCCGGCGAGGTCCAAGTGGGTGGGGATCAGCAGTGCCCTCTGTCACGTGGGGTCCCCGGGAGGATGGGACCCTCCCACCATCACTGTCATCACAGTGCCGGCTCCCCCCCCCGCCGCACAGTGTTGGCAGATATTAATAAAAAGTTATTAAAAAAGAAAAAACTCCCCATCAAAAACTGCTGTTTTATGGGGCCCTGTTTCCAGGTGAAAAATGGCAGTGTGTATCTGTGTGTGTGTGTGTCTGTGTGTCTCTGTGCGTGTTTGGCCCTTTCTGTTGTAATGACAGAATATTAGATTAATCGCCTCGTGGCAAATTCCTTTGGAATATCTTCAACGCGGTCAGAGTGCTAACAAACACATCTTATTCCACTAAAATGAGTCCCTTCTTTTCCACATCCCACACTGATGCAGGCCTGTCTATCTCATTCCAGTCATCGCCAGTTAGGATTTGACAAACCTCAAGGTAGCATACAGGTTATATACAGTAATACCGATCAGTGCTGGACTGGGGTTAAAGCCTTAACGGGCACCGATTGTGGAAGCGTTTCTCCTGTCTGCCCCCAGGTTCGAGTGCCTTCTCTTCTATTCCCTGTCCTTGGGAGCTTTACACACAAAGCCTGTCCTTTCATTTACCACATCTCTCTTTTCTGCTATCATATCAACACACCTCCACATTCCTGTTGACGTGTAACGGCGGGAAAAGGGACACTTGGGCTTGTTGTGACGTGGAGAATCTGGCCCCCAGATCGGGGGGGTTTGCCCTTGCTATTTCTGCGGGTTTGCTTTAGGTGGGCATTTGCTTGACTGATGTATATTGAATCTGCTTTACCAGATAAGACAGATGCGGATTAAATGACACAGCAATGTGTGGGCTGAGAATTATGGGAAGATAAATAAAGCACATGTTTGGGTGTGAGTGCAAAAAGGATTATGGGAGCAGGTGTGGCTCTGGCAGCTTGAGAACTAACCCCCCCCCCCCTACTTCTTTGTGCAGAAACGGTGATGGACACGCGGACAGCCACGGCAGAGCTCGGCTGGACGGCGTACCCGGCATCGGGGGTAAGAACGCTCTGCTTATTCTTCCTGATGTTATGGAACCTATTCATGGACCCTAACCCCGACCTCAAAGGGGGCTGGGGGGTCAGGAACCTTGCCTGTGGAGGTCCACTGGGTTTTCCAGTCGACTCCGTACGGGCACAGTGTCCTGTGGTCCCAGGATGCCTCTCCAGTGCATTGTGGGTAATAAAAACCTCATTGTGGGGTGGAGGATCAATGACTGACCAAACACTGCAAACCCCCTATCAAGCCCCCCCCCCCCACCCAGGAAGTCAAATAAAACTATCAGCGTGAGTCACTGTGTATTAGAGGAACACTAAACTCTTGCAGTCCCTCTGAAGTAAAGGGATATAATTATTAATCTCGCTTGTTTGTCCTTGCCTCCCATCCACTGTGACATTAAAGGGCAGTTTCAGTCTTTAAGTGATTTGGAAACTCTGGGCCGGTCTTCCTTTGAAAGCACGGAGAAGGATTGTCATTGGTCAGCTCTGACCTTCAGTGACCTTCAGTTCCAGGGAAGACTTGATAGGTGTCCGACTGGATCTGGAACAACCGATGTCTCTGATCCGTTGGGGTGGATCAGAGGCTCACTCTCAGCCAGTGCTGTGGGAAGACGTTACCCCAACCCGCTACGGCATGGACAGCCGGTGGGGGGGGGGGTTTTGGGACGGCCTCTCAATCAGCCAATAACAGAGGGTCCCCAGGACTGGAGTTGAAAACCACTGCTTTTTTATTGGCTGATTGAGAGGCCATCCCAAAAACCTGTACCCACACTGGTCCTTCATGGAACAGGTTCACCACCCCTGGGGTGGATGGTCTGAGCCTTACCCAGGAGGACGCCTCAGTCGGACTGGACCACCACCAGAACCTGCTTTGGGTTGTTAGATCATCATCCTGCCTCCTTGCCTGCCAGGATGTTAAGGTGGAGTGGTTGGATGAAGTTCAGGTTAGGTGAATTAGTGTCGGTAAATTCCCCTTCCTATGTTAGTATTTGCCCCCATGCTGCCAGAAATGGATGGTTGGATGGATGGATAGGTGGGTGGGTGGATGGATGGAGGTCCCTGATGTCACTGCACCTTTAAATACCATGCAGAGGTGTGCATTATCCTTTATTAATGACTCTGCCCCTTACTAAGGACATTCTTCACATAGCCAAACATCCACGGCCCCTAACATACAACATTATCTGCTTTACGTGCTTTGCGCTGTACGATTTATATACAGTGCCTAACTTCAGAGCATCACAGGCACCAAGCATGCTTTCAGCACATATATTAACATTTAATCGATAGCATTTCGCCCAGGTTTACACCTCTTTGCACCCTCTTCTTATGCGATGGGGAGGCAGTTGAAGGGGATGCGGGACTTTCATTGTTAGCTGTAGTCCCTGTCCCTGTTCACACTAGTTCCTATTGTATAAATATGGATTATAAACACGGGCTATAGTTAGCGCTTTGTTAGCAAATGCTATCTTTCATTAATGAGATTGTTTACCGAGAAGCTCAGTGTGGTCCACAAACCCACCTAAATCCTTCTGGCTGCTGTGTTGGCCATAGTGCACAGCTTTTAATGGCTGGAATGGGTTAAACTTCCGAAACCACTAAGCATCAGCGCCCTATACAGACTCTATATGGAATGGGGGTGGAGACTTGGGCAGGGGTGTCTGTTTGGGGCCTTGGTGGACAGTAAGGTGGGTATCCCAAGCGAGACGGTGTGTGTATGTGTGTGTGTGTGATCGTGCGTGACAAACAGCCCAGCTGCAGTTAGGGCGCCGCCACAGGGACCCCATTAGTCATGTGACAGAGGATGCTGCGGACAGGGACGAACTGCCGGCCAGTCAGAGCTGAGCGTTCATTCATCACCGGGCTCTGTGCCGTCTGGGGCGCAGAGACGGCCAGGAGGGGGAGGCTGGCATGAGAGATGCTGAGTCTTCCCCCACTGGTGCAGGTGTAGGGCTTGTGGCGGGAGGTGTGGAAGCAGTGGGCGGGGCCACCTTCAGACAGCTGCTGGATCTGTTGATATTGCCCCTTTGGCCAGTAGGGGGCGTTATAAACCAATAGAGGAGCTAAGGGGGCTTTAAGGTTTTCTGAAAGGTGAAGGATTGGGGACGACCCTGGGGTTAAGGGCTTGGGGTTAGTTTTACCAGCGTCTCATTTAAATGTGACATTTCATTCACTTCCCGGCCAACTTTCATCTCCACGGCAACACAAAGACACGTGTCCCTTGTGCTGGGCTGGGATGAATCGCTCATTTCACCATGGCTGAGCAGCCAGCCTTGCCCCCTTCCTCCCAACAGCTCACTCCTTTTCTCCTGTTCCTTAGCGATGCCAGCACCGGTAAATTGGGCGAAGGAACCGGCTCTGTCTTTTTCCCTCGGGCCTGTCTGGGCCCTGTTCAGAGCAGTGCCGGCTAGCTGGGGAACATGCTAATGTTCTGCCAGATTATCCCACTAAGAAGAAAAGCTCCAGACCTATGTTAGGACAACCCCCATCTCGTATCTGCATTCTACTGGGAGAATTTAACTGGTTTACAGTTATTTCCAGCTGACTGGAGCCATTGGCTAGATTTTTAATTAGATTTCTTTCCGAAGGCACATGGTCACTTCCCAAAGCCTCTGAATCCCAGCTAACTCCACGCTCCTCGCCCCCAACCCCCGCCCACCTTTGCTGAACTAGCTAATCTATTACTCTTATTATTACTCAGAGCTGGCAAGTTTTCCTGTAAGGAAGTCATTTGTATGGCTCTTTTACTTTGCAGCCTCAAGTTTGAAGTTATGAAATCACTGGGTGTTTCCTGGCATCCCGTGCTGGGTGGGAGTCCTCTGTCATACCCTGTGCATCAGGGATAAGGCTTCAAGCTCACCCTGCAAGACGATAGATAGATAGATAGATAGATAGATAGATAGATAGATAGATAGATTGATGGATGGATGCATGGATGGATAGGTGGATGGATGGATGGATGGATGGATAGGTGGATGGATGGATGGATGGGTGGATAGGTGGATGGATGGATGGATGGATGGGTGGATAGGTGGATGGATGGGTGGATGGATGGGTGGATAGGTGGATGGATGGATGGATGGATGGGTGGATGATGGATGGATAGGTGAATGGATGGATGGATAGGTGGATGGATGGATGGGTGGATAGGTGGATGGATGGATGGGTGGATAGGTGGATGGATGGATGTAATGGGGAGCGGTGAGTGGCTCAGCAGGCTAAGTCTCTGTGCCTGTGAGTAGTTCAAGCCCCAGCCTTGGCCGAACAGTCTGTGGCCCTTAACCCCGCAGGTCCAGGGCTGCTGCACATTAGCTGACCCTGTACTGTGACCCCCCAGCTGGGGTTGGTGAAGAGAAGCATTCCAATGTACCTGTTCATGTGTCAATGGCAAATAAACACGTTTGTTGTTGACATTCAATATATATTTAGTGTCCATGCATCAGTCACTGTTTCATATTTCATAAACTAGACTTTACATGGGGTTTAAGTAATCATCTCCCTGGCAGAAAGTAGTGGATGGATGGATGGGCTATTGGTACCACCTACACTGGTGTTAATATATTTCCAGGTGCAGCTATATGTCTTGGGGGTCACATCTATTTCTAAACTGTCTTAATTCTCTGCTCCTCAAAATACTGCATGCTCCCCCCCCACCTACCCACTTCGTCTGTCATTTAAGATGTTGGGTTCTAATAAGCTTCACTGTGGTGGTCACTCTTCACTGCTGGGAGTTAATATTTCCCCTCTTTGCTGACCTCACTGATGAGCTCCTGCAACCTTCCTGAATCGAGGGTAGCCGACATCATGCACAATATCGAGTTGGGGTCATGCTGATTCGCTGTTTGACCCCTGCTGTGACCACAGCGTGACTCTGAATGTCACACAATCTGAGAGAGAAAAAGAGAATCCTATTTTCTTTGCGGCTACCACATCCGGCTGCTGCTGAGGTGACATACAGTCACTCACATAAAGACCTGAATCCTTCCCTGAAGCAGCGGCTCTTATCTTACCGTCACCCATAATGCATCAGCTGTCCGCGTATTTACCAGCTGTGTGAATTACTTTGTGTTTATCTGTGCTGGATTTCATTTGCCAAGTGTCAGGCCCCGTTCACACATGATAACTGCACGTTATGTGTCAGAAATGTGATGGTAGCGCGCGCAGGGAACAGGATAAGCGATGTAAAAATGCATACTCCCTCCCATCCCCGCACCCCCTTCCCACTATTCCTCCAAGGTCATGCTTGGGGAGCAATTAAGGGGCTGTGGAAAGCACCACACTCTCACTTTCTGCTGAGTTTGCTAAATAGCTCTCCAGCTTACTTACAACTATGTACAGTTATGTATTAATAATGCATGACCCTGGGGCAGACCTGGAGCGACTTACGATGCACTCATAGTAGACCTAGACTGACTCACAGCACTCAAGACAGAGCCAGACTAACTCATAACACCCAGAACAGCGTCACAGACTGACTCAGAGCACTCAGGACAGATCTAGACTAACTCAGAGCACCCAGAAGAAACCTATACTGACTCAGAGCACTCAGGACAGACCTAGACTAACTGAGAGCACTCAGGAATGACTCAGACTGACTCACAATGTTCAGAACAGACAATACCCCTCAGCTCCAGGGTTGCAGGTTCAAATCCAGCCTCACCCAGTCTGTAGGCATTTTCTCATTACATGCATCTCCTCCCAAGTTGACCCAGTGATTCCATGCTGCTATTAATGATGGACTGACCAGGGTGGTTTTGTGCTTCCTCGGACAGGGTTCAGTGCAGGCAGGGGTCTTACATGAGGATGAATTCTACCTGGCAACCGGCCCAGTGACGCGCAGTGAAATAAGCCCATTTGGGACTCAGAACTGAAAACACAGCAGGGGGATGTAATCGACCCCCTTCCCCCTTGTACAGACAACGTGTTCCATAAGCTTCTCCCAGATCCCTATCGGGTACAAGCAGTTGGACTGGAGATAAGACACCCCCACCAGACAAAGCAGTCTGGGCCACCTAGTGGTATTAATGGTCCCCTGTGGTCATAAGGGACAGGTTACTCTAAACCTGATGAATGATTACCATGGCAGCGAGGCAAAGACAGAATGTGAGATAGTAGCATATATATTTATATATATAAGCAAAAAGGGTTTCATTTGTGTCTGGAGCCTCTATAAACTCATTAATCATGTCTGCATCCTGTTCTTCTCTACCCTCCCCCGCCCACCGGGTGGCACAGTGGGCTGTATTAGAGGGATCCCTACTGGGGAAAATGTTGCCGATTTTAGGGGTGTGGGGGCTTTCTGTCTGAGACAAAGACGATGAAACCACCACCCCCCCCGGGGCACTTTTGGAGGACACCTCTTATGAAAGCTGCTGTCAGGCCGTTTGTTATTTTGGAAGAGCAACCTAAAGGGTTACCATAGGAACAGCCGGCCTGGTTACCTCAGGTTTAGGTTAAGGTAATTTCTTTATTTCCTGGGCTTCAGTCTCTGCTCCACAGTACCACCAACCCAGAGGGACCAGTCCGACCCCAGAGCTCCACCCACTGCTTTAGAGCCCCACCCCCAGCTTTAGAGCCCCACCCCCAGCTTTAGAGCCACACCCCCAGCTTAAGAGCCCCACCACCAGCTTTAGAGCCACACCCCCAGCTTTAGAGCCACACCCCCAGCTTAAGAGCCACACCCCCAGCTTAGAGCCCTGTCCAGCTGAAATCAGAAGCTCCTTTTTTCCCTCCTGCTACAGAGCTCCCGGGCCCAGGTTGATGTGGCCTTCATTATCCCCCCTTGAAAGTGGCTGACATTAGCCGCACGGGCAGGGCATCCATGTTTAGCGATTAGCTGCCTCAGAGACGGGTGGCATTCCAGCAGCCGTGGTTTTCTTTAAATGTCCCACCTTTTGTGAGAGCCTGATTGGCTCATTATTCATACATCCAATCTGTATATTCCTGCCAGGTAGAAGCAGCTGTGGAGGCGGCTTCTTAAATCACCTGTAAATGATTAAATATCCTGAACACAACATGGAAAATGTATGGGCTCAGATTTTCAGTATTATCAATCCATCCGTCCATCCATCCATCCATCCATTTCTGGCAGCAAACCTGGAGTATTTATCAGAAACAGCACGGTGGCATCTGCGGCAGGCACATGCTAACATAGTAATGGGCATCAGGGCATCTACACTAACTATCTATGTGAATTCATATAAATGCAAACACCCACAGCTACTGTCATTACAGTCATAACCGGAAAGACCCAGAAAAAATATGCACCCACGTCAACAGATTAAAACTGCAAAAGACAACAAAGTGCCCCGCCTATGAGTTATGCCAAACAGGGGCGCTGTGGAGGCTTACGGACAGGGCTTTTGAACTGCTGCTAAAGCTAGAAGATTAATTTTATCTATCGAACACGGAGAAAGCAGGCTTTCATGACTACGCTTTCACGAGGCAGACAGCTTATTTTCAATAGATGTGCTCCCTTGGCTACAGACCACAGATTACTAATAACGTCACCCCCCTCCCTCAGCCCCCCGCATCACAGAACAGCGATTGCGAGTAGAAAACAGCAGGGAAATGACAGAAATCTCATCCCGTAGGGCACCGATAAGTTAATTTAAAAGTGAAAGCGCTTATTCGTGAAGATGTCGGTATGTAAATCCAAACGCTACGTTGCGATGCGCTGAAGCGGGCGAAAAAAGACTGTTGAGTCCAGATATTTGATAGCAGCGATAGTGGCGACTCAGTAAGTCGCTTCAGGCCCCTCCAATGTTTCAGAAACTAAATAAATAGCTAGTGGTTAGCAGAACACACCGCTTTAGTATTTCCTAAATGAGGAATTGGTTTATTTTATATTTAGTGTAGTGACTATTTGTGGCCAACAGGGGGCCCAAGCAAATGTGTGGTTTGAGTGGCGGTAAACACCGCCGCTGGGAAGGGGTATGCTGAGAGGCGTCGTTGAGATGGGCCAGTGATGTAGAGGCATGTTGGACCCAGATACCCACAAACTAACAGGAAGATGGAGAGGCTGGGTCTGGCAAGGAGTCTACTTTCTGCCTCTGTTTCCTGTGGTTCCGCCTCCTCAGGGAGAAAGACGCTGGTCCAAGAGGTCAACATGCAGGATACGCTCGGGCAGATACACAGACATGCTGGTCATATACAGGGATGAGGTCACAGGGGCGCTGGCTCCAGCTGACAGCTGATTGGCCCCCAGAGTGACCCATCCCCTGTCACTCACTGATTAAAAGCATAGCATTGGCTAACAGGTTGAACCCTCTGTATGAATTAGGGTCCCTCTTATGCTCTCCACCTTAAAAAATCCTATAACTGCCCCTGACAGAGACATACAGGGACAACCAAATTCATATAGGGACACACACAGTCTTAAACACATGAGAAACACACTAGCCCAGAGTTATAAAGGGACTATAAATCAATGCACATCCAGGCCAACATCTGAACCAACCAAATCCCAAAGTCAATGCAATAGACTCTGTGAATTTTATGTGTGCTTTAAAATTTTTATATGTGCTGCATTTTAGAGTGCAATTTCGTTTGTTTCCCTGTCTCTCTTTTGTTATCAGGGTAGTTTTTATTTAAAGATATGACCTCACTAATCCCATTTTCTTCCCCCCCCCCCCCCCCGTGTGACAGTGGGAGGAGGTCAGCGGCTATGATGAGAACCTGAACACCATCCGGACGTACCAGGTTTGCAACGTTTTCGAGCCCAGCCAGAACAACTGGCTGCTGACCACGTTCATCAAGCGGCGCGGGGCCCAGAGGATCTACGTGGAGATGCGTTTCACCGTCCGCGACTGCAGCAGCATCCCCTACGTGCCGGGCTCCTGCAAGGAGACCTTCAACCTCTACTACTACGAGACGGACGCCGTGATCGCCACCAAGGGCTCCGCCTTTTGGATGGAGGCGCCCTACCTGAAGGTGGACACCATCGCGGCCGACGAGAGCTTCTCGCAGGTGGACTTCGGCGGCCGCCTGATGAAGGTCAACACGGAGGTGCGCAGCTTTGGGCCGCTGTCCCGCCGCGGCTTCTACCTGGCCTTCCAGGACTACGGCGCCTGCATGTCGCTGCTCTCCGTCCGCGTCTTCTTCAAGCGCTGCCCCAGCGTGGTGCAGAACTTCGCCGTCTTCCCCGAAACCATGACGGGTGCCGAGAGCACCTCCCTGGTCATCGCCCGGGGCGTCTGTGTTCCCAACTCAGAGGAGGTGGATGTGCCTATTAAGCTGTACTGCAACGGAGACGGCGAATGGATGGTTCCCATCGGCAGCTGCACCTGCAAGGCCGGCTACGAGCCAGACAACGGGAACGTGTGTCGAGGTGAGCCCCTCCCTAACCCTGCCCGCTGCTACCTCATTTGCCCCCCCAAGGAAATCCACCAGGGTCCAATATACCGATTGATCAACAATGTAATTGCATCTGGCCGCCATCCTCCAATGACAACTCTCCTTCTGCACGTGCTCATTAGAGAACTCCCCCCCCCCCCATCCAATCCAGAATTCTGAATCTAGATTCTGAGCTTGTTCCTTTTATCGGCCTACAGTGGGAGTTTAATTCCAGATGTTTGGAATCACAAAATGCCCTCGCTGAAAAAATGCAGCTCCCCCACCACGCCGGAAACGCAGCCCATAATCCATCCACAAGCTATCAATCGCAGGTGCTAAGGTCACCATCCATAGGTTCAGATGTTCAGCCTGTAGTTCAGGGATTAGCTAAAGGGAAGCTGGATCAGCGGGCTTTTCCAAGCAAGCACTTCCCCAGGGTTTTGGTGCATGATGTCATGTTCTTCTGTTGAATGGCATCACTGTTTGGGACCAAATGTACCATTGTACATATTTTCTGTCAGTGGTTATGTTTTCATTTGTTTTGTTCAGGTGATGTAACGCGATATGGCAAAGATGATTAATGGTAAAATTCCTGGCGTCAGAAATGCACAGCACAGATGATGGTGCATCTGTGTCACTTCCTGAAAGTTCCTCTTTGACGGAAACTGGAAGCGGGGAAGTTTTTGACAGGCAGCGGCTGCCTTTTCACACCTGGTCGGTCCCCTCTGTCATTCCGTAAGTGGTTTGTCTCATTTGCAAGGGGCACGAATAACTGTCACGTGTGTTTGACGGGCGGTTAAGCTGAACCGACACAGAACCGTCCCAGAGGAAGGCCTGGTCTCTGTGTCAACACCAGAACAAATCTGACAGCCGGGCCCAAGATATTCTTGGGAGGGGCACCAGTGGTGAATGGGGGTGGGATGGAGGTTTGATGACTATAAAAGTTGGCTGCAAAGAAGGAGGTGGTCCGTAGGTCAGAGAGAAGCCTCCCTCTCTGATTTTTAATAACCATTTGTCATACGTGTTACGTCCAAGAAGGACAAGAGGACGAGAAACAAACACAACAAACCAGTCAGAGCAAGTCGGCCACAACGATGTTGGTAAGCTGATAAAAATGATAACCACCGGAATCGGTGAACCCACAGCTCCTCCGTAAACGCAAGCATGCAATTGACAGAGGTTTCCGGAAGACCCAGGTGACATGCGTGAATGTAACAGTGTAATGGTCGTAATCGTGGGCCATGTAAACGTCCATTATCAACGGATAAAGCATGAAAATGGCAGCCAGGGACGGACGCCGGGTGTCACTTACATCGCTGCCTGAGTCACACTCTCTCTCTCTGTCCTAGTCATGCACACACGAGCTTCTGTATAACAGGGGGCCCGCTGGATGATAAACGTGCATATGCGTGTGCACAAGGATGAGGTAAAGACCATCAGCCTGTTTCCGCTCATGCCGGAATCGTGCGCGTCGGCCTCACTCGCCATATGGTCCTCCGGCCACCAGGGAGGCGAGCTAGCGCCAGCCAGCGCCTTTGGCTCGGGCCACAGGACCCCTCCCCTGACGTCAGTCCCACAGGCACCTGGAGTCTCTGTGCTCTGGCGTGACTCCCTGTGTAAGCCACCGCGCTGCCCCCTCAGGCAGTTGGCAGATGTGCGCTGCGGAAATTTCTGGCTGAAAGGTGAAGCCCTGAAAGAGGCTGGGCAGTGAAACCTCACCTGGCATCTGGGGAAGACTGAGGCATTGTGAGTAAGTTTTTTTTTTGACTCCGCAGATTATTGGCTGTGTCCAAATTCAGGGGCTGCTTTCTTCCAAGGACGCAGTCTATGTAGCCTTTGTAGATCGCATCCTTCGAAGGTCCGTGCAATGAATTTTGAGATATGTTGGGCTGTGAAGGATTCATTGGGTAGATCCTTTGTGATTCAGCAAAAGAAGGACACGTCTAGGCAACACTAGACAAGGACCCTTCGAAATGGGAGCCTTGTTTTGCTGCTGTGGCGCATTTGTCTTTGAATGCAGCCTTAGAAGTATACCATGCCAAGTATACCATGCCAAGTATACCATGCCAAGTATACCATGCCATATACCATGATTTCCAGGATGGAGAAAACCAACCCTACTCAAAGCTCCGAAGCAGATGAAAATTAGTAGCAAATAAAAAATCTAAGCACTCTAAATGAAAATAATAATAATCTGGCTTGTAGAGATGAATAAGAATTTTGTGTTGCAATGCACTCTACGCTCACTTATACAGGGGGGGGGAGGTGGGGAGCCAGAGTCCTCTACTCCGTGGGGGATGAGTGAACTTTTCATTTATAACTTTCTGACCAGAGTGTGTGTTACTCGGGGGCTTCCACGTGGTCTGCTGGAGTAAAAGGCAGCGATTCAGGAGGGCTATGGGTGGGGGGGGCGCCCCATGGGAGAGGTCTTTCATCTTCTCTGCGGGTTCCTTCATTGCTGTATCCACAGACGACCTCTTTAAAGCTGTTTCCGTCTCATCTCCCTGTCCCACCATGATCAGAGGGCTCAAGGCACCATTGCTGTCCTTTGGGGAGCCCCCCCCCCCCCCACCCTACCCTAAAATTGGCAGGCACGATATACAAGCGCTATTTACGACCATGCGCAATATTTAAATGAAATGAAATAGAAGATATTTCAAAATCAATATGTCTTTATTTGTATTCATGTGGCCACAAATCACCGCCCCTCCCCACCCAGACACTTGACCTCCCTGTGAAGGAGTAGTGGTGCTGAATTTCATTTTATCTGTGTCTTTGTATCTTATATCCCCCCCCCCCATCATCCACAGCTATGGTCTGTGTTCAGATCTCTTGCTCTGTGGACCAGGGGTGGCGATTTCAGGATGTTTTACTCCTGGGGGGTTAATCCCTCCCCCTCGCCTTCGACTGCACAAAACGCTTTGGCATCCCATCGCCATGGCACCCCATCCTGTTGCCACGGCGCCCCATCACTTTGAACCACTTTGAATCGCACATGCTTGTCTGCATGCTGCCTTCCTTTAGGTTACCTCTGGGCTTCCTACTGCATCTTCCCTGTGATGGGATACGCATGTGCCTTTCCTGAAACTGGAGCCCTGCTTAACCCCATTTCCTCATTAACCTTGTGTGCGTTTGCACGGGCTCACGCAGATGTCCGTCTCCTTCCCCTGGGCGTGTGTGCGTACGCTACTGCATGCACATACGGGGACTGCTGCACATGCTTAAACACGGCATTCCTACTCTCTACGTTCATATTTATGCGTTTAGCTGTAATGAAGTCAGGATATAACCAGGTACAGGTCTTATTCTCATAGCTAACCTGCACCTGTTACTGCCCCCCCCCCCCCCGGAAGCTCAGCCTCGAAGTATTGCTGTCTAACTTGGCTACCAGACAGTGCGTATGTTTGTAATGCACGTACGTATTGCTGGTGAGTGTTTTGTGTCGTCATGATATGACAACTGAGAGCTTCTGCATGAAGGATCCTGGACACCACTGTAGACTCAGAAGGAGAAAAAAAAAACAGTGGAAGAGACCAGGTGGGGAGCAGTTGGTTGGGGCAGTCAGCCCCCCTCCTCCTTCACGTCCGCTTGTCCTCAGGTATTTTCTCTTGGATAGAGATCTGATGTGGGGAAGGTTTATCAAAGTTTTTCAGCTTGGATGGATGTGGGGCGACAATGGGGGCAGGGTAGGGGGAGCAGGAGGTGGAGATCAGGGGGAGGCGCCGGAGTGTAATGGATGCTCCCGTGGCCGTCCTGTCTTCACCACGCCGGCCCTGGTCTCAGTCTGCAGGGTAGGGAATGCAGGCATCTGAGGACAGAGAGCCCCCAGGGACCTAAACAAACACCTGAAAAAGCCAGAGCGGTTTATTTAGCGATCGATTTGCAGTGCATTCTGGGCCTTTCCTCCCCTGACACTCATGTGCCTTCTCTTTCCAGGTTGTTTTTTGTTTTTTTTTTGCTTCTGTAAAGCTTTCTCCTCCACTCATGATCCAGTCGTTTTCCACGGGTGCCGATGGGAAGCCATTGCTGAGAACCCCCCCGGGATCGCTACTCTCCTGCCGTTTTGCCCCAGCCTTTTTTTAAAAAAAAAAATCCCTTTATTGATCCTGAATATTTGATTGCAGTTCACTTGCAGTGCGACCAGAGGGTCAGCTGCGCAAACACAGCCTGGGCTGCCGTTGATGGAGATTTAAACTGAAGGGGTCGCGGTTGGAACCACTGGCCCCACCTCCCTTATGCTCAGACCCCTGGGATCACATCCCATAATATTGCTGAATCTTGTTAGCTACGTGGGTATAGGCTGGAATAAAAGCCACCAGCTCGGAAAATCAAGGAAAGGTCACATGATTACCTCAGTTGCATTATGAGTGTTGAATTATTATTGTTATTATTATTATTAATAATAATAATAATAATAATAATGACACTTTTATTGATCCGTGTAGAGAAACTCTTCCTCTTTTCTTTTTTCTCTGTCATTATGGAAGGCTATGCTTCTAAGTCTCCGCTTTGAATATTTCAAACTGCTTTCAAATCAAATCTGAACCTCTAGAAGCCTCTGGAATGTTACTGCTGGTGTCGGCCAGTGTGGACTGTGACCTTATCTGGGGTGGAGAGCTGTTTACGAGAGTCCCAAGGCAGATGCAGGTGACATTTTCCTCAGAAGTAACCCCAGCCCAGGGGGGGGGAGGGTAACAGGCGTGGACACAGGCATGACCACCACTAACTCCGGAGAAACATGGTGGGTGTAGTTATTTATTTATCAGCAAGCTTCATTTATTTATCAGCTTTGGATTCAGTCAAGGGTATGAAAAGGTTTATGTTGCGGTCAGGGATTCTTTTTTCATTGATAGGTTTCCATCAAGTACCTTCCTCAGACTGTAGGGACGCAGTGGGGCAGCCTTCTGTGTTTGGAACTTCAACCTCCACGGCCCCTGGTCGACCAGACAGTCAGGCTCAGATGGATTTCCTTAGGAGTTAAGGCCTTTTCCGCCA